AACGCTGGATGCAAGACCCACCTCCACCAGACCCCGACTGTGACCTGGATTGGGGCACCTTTCACCCACTTTGTGCCTCAGTGCTCTTGTCTGTAAAGCAAGAACAATGGCACCTGTATCAAAGGCTACTGAAGATTAATTAAAACATTTCATGTAAATTGCTTCACACGTTGCTTGCCTGAGTCACTGCTCAATAAGAAATATCTATTTTTATAACTCTCTTACGTGTGTCTCACACTCTTGCTCAGCTGGACTGCTTGCTGCCCCATCACCACGCTCTGCCCTTTTGTCCCTCTGTGCTTTGTTCTTATTATTCTGAGTCTAGACCACTGTACTGCTTATTCTCTGGCCTGATGAAATCCTCTTCCCCTTCAGGGCCCATCTCATCCTGATCCATCTAACCAGTTACGACTTGGCCCCACTAGCTTGCACCTCCATTGCTCTTTGTTTACAGTTCTTTTATTACACTCATTATATTAAACCTGATTTCCATTACAGTAATTTATGACCTTGTCTCTTTCATGGATAATGACTGTGTCTTACCAGCCTATTTAGTTTACAGTATTGAACAATCTGCAAAGAGTGGTCATTCAATAAGCATTTACTGAATCTGAAACAGTTGTGATTACTTGTGACAGTAAGCATAATATATTATACTACCTATAATAGCAGTTCTCTCATAGGATGCTTATACAGATTAAATGAGATAATACATGTAAAGGGCTACTAAGAAGTAACTATGTTACCATTATCAATCACAGCTACTTTTACTTCAGTGTTCACAGTGGGGCCGGCACTGCATTAAGTGCTTTACACACGTGAACTCCTTGAAACGGAGCCTGGCATGACCACCTTACATTCCACTTCCATAGAGTAGGTAAGATGAAGGTGTTTTTTTTTTTAAATGACTGATGAAGAAAAATGGCAAATTTAAAAGTAACTGAATTGGTCTTATTGTTAAAAAGTTGGCTTGAATAAATAATGAAATTCCTGATATTTCACAGGATAGTTGAGAGGATCGAAATAATTCAAGATATGTAGAAGTATAAGAAAACTTGGAAAACTTAAAAATGAAAGGTACTATTATGCAAATTTGTAGCCAGTGTTCAAGACTACTAAGGGAAAATGGCCCTGAGAACTTCTGAAAGTCTCAATTCTCTCAATCATTAAATGGGCCAATAACTGGAACCTACTACTGCACAGGGTGCTGTGAGGGTGAAACCAGAGGATGCTGGTGAAAGGCTCAGAACAGTGTAATAAGTAAGTAAATATATATATGTATGCATATATATGTATATATACACACACACACATATATATGTATATATATACATACACATATGTAAAATAACACTTACCAAGAGTTTACCTGTATATATGTATATATGTATATATATGTATGCATATATGTATATATATACATATATATATATGGAATTTGCTTTTATTAAGAGATGTTCTCAATTATATAACTGAAGATCTAGGATCATGATGGATAAATTAAATCCTGAGTTAACCAAATTTTCTGAGTCACAACCTATTCCAAGTGCTTAACAGTGTGAAATCATTGGCAGGTAAGTTTCATGTTCCCACTGCACTTTACGTGATAATGGAAATGGACATCAATAAATAGTGAAGGGCCCAGAAAGGTTTCATGAAGGAGAGTGTGAAAGCTTGGATAAGCCACAAGGCATACATGCATTTCGGGAATTAAAATGCCTACTTCAGTTCCCACATACATATCAGAGTCTAGTCAAATGAAAACCAAATTTTTATATTTTTGTGAAATGCTTTCCATTTTACAGATATAATTTTCATTTGTTTTTCTGTTCATTTCAGCTTTTAAAAGTGGTAAATGAGAAAATAAGGCACCAAAGATCTCAAAGGCAGAATGCCACTACGTAGCAAGCAATAGTGTTTTCTTTTTCCAAGGGTAATTATGTAAGCTATTTAAAGTAGAGAAGATATTAAAAGAATAATTTAAATAAAATTTAAAGGGAGATTTAGAAGTGAGTCCAGTTTCTTGGTATCATACTATGAATCTCTTTAAATATAAGGATGTACAAAGCAGGAAATTTTAAAAAATGGCGACACAGATGGAAACCAAAAATGCTTTGCAATGATTCAAATGCATAATCTACTGCACTTACAAGCATTTCTTTTTTTAAAATATGTATTTGTAAAGACACCAAAATAATCAGTTTCTCAAAATGATTCCAAGGCATTAATGAGAATTCTTACTCTCTTTAAATATAAGGATGTACAAAGCAGGAAATTTTAAAAAATGGCGACACAGATGGAAACCAAAAATGCTTTAAAATGATTCAAATGCATAATCTACTGCACTTACAAGCATTTCTTTTTTTAAAATATGTATTTGTAAAGACACCAAAATAATCAGTTTCTCAAAATGATTACAAGGCATTAATGAGAATTCTTACCAAAAAAAAAAAAAAAAGACTCCCCAGATGAAATGCCTAAGTATGTATATCTGTTTTTTGTCAGTACAATCCTGGCTTTGAATGTTATGAAGATATAAATGAAAAGACAGAGGCCAAGTGAGTGCCCCTTAGTCCAGATATAGAACTGCTCATACAGAATAGCAGGCTTTAAACTCTTAGATTCCACCACCCAGTAAAATTCCCAAAGTAAAACTGGGGAGACTCATCTAGATTGCCAAGAAAATTTCACCAAGAAAAGGCATTACAGAAAACAACACATGTCCCATAAAAGAAAAAGCTAAAGGAGTTCATCTCCACCAAACCAGTATTACAAGAAAGGTTAGAGAGACTTCTTTAAAAAGAAGAAAAAATACCAAAGCCGTGAATAATAAAATGGCAATAACCACATACCTATCAATAATTACTTTAAACAGAATGGATTAAATATTCCAATGAAAAGATAAGGGGTGGCTGAATGGATAAGAAAACAAGACCCCTACGTATACTTCCTACAAGAGACCCACTTTAGATGGAAAGAAACACAGACTGAAAGTAAAGGGATGGAAAAGATACTTTATGGAAATGGAAACAAACAAACAAAAAGCTAGTGTAGCAATACTTGTATCAGACAAAATAGACTTTAAAACAAAAGCTATAAGAAGAGACAAAGAAGGACCCAGCAATTCCACTTCTGAATATTCATCTGAAGAAACCCAAGACACTAATTCAGAAAGACATATATACCCCTATGTTCATTGCAGCATTATTTACAACAGCCAAGATATGAAAGCAACCTAAGTGTCCATTAATAGGTGAATAAAATTGTGATATATGTGTATATATATGTATGTATGTATTTTATATATACATTGTGCGTGTGTATGTATGGAGTGTTACTCAGCCATAAAATAGTGAAATCTTGCCATTTGTAACAACATGGATAAACCTAGAGGGTACTATGCTAAGTAAAATAAGTCAGATAGAGACAAATACCATATGATTTCACTTATATATGGAATCTTAAAAAATAAAACAAACTCACAGATACAAAGAGCAAACCAATTGTTGCCAGATGAAAGGGGGTGGGTAAGTGAGATGGGTGAAAAGGGGGATTAATATGTGCAAAATGTCAGTTACAAAAACAGTCATGGAGATGTAAAGTACAGCAAAGGGAATAAAGTCAATAATATTGTAATAACTATGTATGGTATCAGATGAATACTTAAGACTTATCAAGGTGATCATTCATGTTATATAAATGTCTAATCACCATGTTATACATCTGAAACCAATATAATATTGTATGCCAACTGTAATTGAAAAAGAAAAAATTACTAATTAAAAAAACATATTATTATCAATAATTTATGAAGGAAAGGATATTTTAATATCCTCCGAGATTAAGAAGCCCATAATTTCAGAATAACACACGGTTTTGTGAATTAAATAAATTTAGCTTTAAGTTAAACTCATTATAGTGTTCTTATTTTTCCTGTGTTGATGGGGCCAAAAAATCTTCATCATTGATCAGCCCATCTGTGGTCTTACACTAAGTTGCAATCACTAAGAGAGGGCACTAAATGTGCCAGAGATCTCATAAAATGTCTACAATTGGGGCACCCTTTTTTTTTTACTCAATGTGGGTAAACAAGGAGAAATAACAATCAACACGTCCTTTATATAAAATAATCTGTTTCAACGTAGAATTTCAAATATGCATTATATGATCATATTTTCAATGTCTAAAAGTTGTTACTCTCCTCAAAAAGCTACCGTAGAATGTGGATACTCTCTGGTTAGTGAATTTTCCAGGTCATAACTTTTCATTCTCTGCCCTTCTGCTGCCTCTATATGAATTATCCTGTCATTCATTTGCATTTTGACCAAATGGACCTTACGTGAAAGTATAGGAAGTATAAAAGTAAGAAATCTTGTGCATTTTCATTTTGTTACTAATTACGACCCAAATTTTAAAATTTTTGTATTTAGGAACCTTAGCAAAAATACACTGTTGGCAATACAAATAGACTTTAAAAATTTAAGCTTTTAAGAATGGTATGTTGTAGTGGCTTAACAGTTCAGGCCTTGAACTTATTAACTCTGTTAACTTTGACTTACTATTTAATTTCTCTGTGCCTCAGATTCCTTGTTTCCGAAAATGGGGATAAATAATGGTACCGTACTCATAGGGCTGGGAGACTAAATGAGATAACATATTTAAGGCACGTAAAACAGAGGCTGGTGAATATGTTAACTATTATCATTACCGTTATTGCTACTACTTATTCCTAGAGTACTTGAAAAATTCACTGCATTTATAGATTACCAAAAAAGTAAAACATACTTTAAGTACCATGTATATCACCTCTGACATAGAGAATTTCATTAGATGAGAAATGTAAAGAGAGCTAAGAAAAAAGAAACAGTAATTGCAAAGAGAGTATCCTTCACAATAAATGACATCAGTTGTCCTTGTCAAAAAGAAATATCGAGGTCTATATTCTGGAAGCCTAGCAGGAAACCTGAGCCATAAAAATGTTCTCTGGAAGCCACACTTACCCCTTGTTCATCCAGTTTCATGAGCTGCTCTGTGACCTTGGGAGTGTTGAAGGCCAACCGCAGGCAATGGACATTGAGCTCGGGAATCACATGCTCTAGCACTTCTTTCAGAGGCAGCCCTCTGGCTGTCGAGTGCTTTGCCGTTGAGGGAATGGCATCTTCCAGGACTGAACCTCTCAGTGTCATGAGCTGAAAGACAGACACGTGCTCCGGTGAGAGGAGTGAATCCAGTAGTCTCCCACTTATCCGAGGGGGATACCTGAAACTGTGGATAGTACTAAACTCTATATATACTGTGTTATTTCCTATATATACATACCTATGATAAAGTTTAATTTATGAATTAGGCACAGCAAGAGGTTAACAAATAATAAAATAGAACAATTATAATATACTGTAATAAAAGTTATGTGATCTCTTTCTCAAAATATCTTACTGTACTATATTCAGCCTTCTTGTGTGATATGAGACAATAAAATGCCTACACAATGAGGTGAAGTGAGGTGAATGACACAAGCACTGTGACATAGTGTTAGGCTACTACTAAGCTTCCGACGATTCATCAGAAGGAGGATTATCTACTTCGGGTGATCCTGGATCATCCAGCCATGATGATGTTGATGGTTGGATGTCAGGAGCAGATAATGTCAATGGTTGGGGAAATTTAACATCTTCAGACTGTAGCTGACCTTACATAACGGAAGCCATAGAAAGCAAACTGCAGATAAGGGGGGACTACTGTACATCAAATGCAGTGAAAGCCTAAACTGCAATACTCCTTGGGGAGACTCACCAGAGAAATAAAACCTGGAACTTTGTCAACTGATGGAGACAAGAGATGACAGTGGGAAAAGCAAAACTCACCATCTTACTCAACGAGGAAAAGGCGCTTGAGGTATTTGCAGTCTATTCATCTGATTTACATCTTTTCTTTTATTTATGACTTATTTTCAAATAACACGGGTGTAAAAAACATCGTTTTCCTATGAATTCATATCTACTTCTAAAGAAACAGTTTTGTTTGTTTTTTTTTTTAAATTGTGGGAAACTGCTGAACAACTCAGTCACTGCTCTCTGTCTTCCATAAAATAGCACGTGCCCTGGGACAGCAAGCTACGAAGGCTGGAAATATTTGCAGTTGAAAAACCTACACCAGGAATGCTAATTATTGCTAATCCTGCACCACAAAAAGATAGCAGCTCACCTCAAGAAAGCCAAAGTAGAGAACCCTCATTAAGTCCCTGTGCACCTCAAAAGTGCACACGTGCCATAAGACTGTCCAAAAAAAAATCCTCATGCTTACAAATCTATGCAAGGTTTTTTCTATGTTCTGCAATGATTATTTTTACTGAAATGAAAGAGATCTGTTTGTATTTCTGTTATCCTGTCGCTATTTACTAAAGCACTGGAGTGGCATTGGGGTGACTATGTTCTTTTCTCTTGATGTATTTATTAACAGGAGAAATAGCATGAAAAATCCCTGCAAAAGCATGAAAACAAAGTCTTACTTTATTATATATATCTGTCCCACAAAGTCCAGGTGCTGCAGACTGGAATCAACATCTAGAGTACTTCTATCAAAGGACTTTTGTTAGGTTATTTCAATGCAAAGCCTTGTAAAGATGTTACAATTAATTCACATTTAAGGATCATTTTTATTGGAAAGAAAAAATTACACGAAAGCTAGTGGCAATTAAATAAACATCAGAGAGAGGAAGAAAGGAAGGCAAACAGGAAGGAAGGGAGGGAGGGAGGGAGGGAGCAGAGAGGGAGGGAAAGTATTATTTTAGGCATTAGGCATACAGTAAGGAAGGAAGGAAGGAAGGCAGGCAGGCAGGCAAACAGGAAGGAAGGAAGAAAGGGAGAGAGGGAGGGAGGGAGCAGAGAGGGAGGAAAAGTATTATTTTAGGCATTAGGCATACAGCAATGAACAATTCAGATAAAAGTCCCATCCTCAATGGGTTTATATTCGAGTAGCAGAGAAAGAAAACCAACAAAATAAGTACAATACGTGAGATAGTGTTAAATGCCCATAAAAAAATAAAGCCTGGAACTGGATACAAAACAGGGGCACGAGGGGGTAAAAATGTTAGATTCAGTGGCCAAGGAAGGCCCCTGTGATTTATGAGTAAAGGCCAGAAGGCAATGAGAGCGCTCTGGGGAAGAGCACTGCACCACAGAGGAACAGGGAGCATCCCAGACCTGAGGTGGAGGTGTCCTGAGGGTGCCCAGGGAGAAAGAAGCCAATGTGGCTGGAAAAGACTAACAAGAGGGAGTTGGAGATGAGGTTGGTAGCAGAGGCGCATGGCCTCCTAGGCTACCAAGGAGACTGGCTTTTACGAAGAGGGAGAGGAGAAACCATTACAGGATTCTGAATTAAGAAATGACAAGATGTGGATTACATTTCAAAAGGATCCCTGCTGGGCTGAAAGAATGCAGGGTTTAAGGGCACAAGTAGGAAGCACAGTTCTCTGGAAAAGATGACCGTGGCCTGGCCCAGGTCCAGGCAGTGGGGATGGAAGAAATGGTTGAATTCCGGATATATTTTGAAGACAAAAATCAACAAGTTTTGCTTATACTTGGGGGGCAGGAGGGAGAAGAATTGGGGGCGAGGGGAGGAAAAGAGAGGAGTCAAGTGTGGCTTCAAGGTTTCTGGCCTGAAAAACTAGAATAATAAAGCTGTCATCAGCGAAACATTAATTTGAACATGAAACCTAGTGGTAATGGTCTTTTGGACCATGAACATTTGATTTAGATGTTTCAATCAAAGGCTAAGGAAATGGATCCAAGGGACCTAATTTATCTAACTGGTTGGCAGGAAAAGGTCTAAACTGCAAGACCAAAGAATTCGTGGGAGGTGCTGGTCAAGCATTTTAGACTGAGGTATCAAAAGATGAAAGAACAGAGGTGGGGGAGGCAAGAGTCAGTGCAGTTCAGCCACCACGGCAGAGGGATCATGTGGCAGAGGGATCATGTGACGGTAGGACAGGCGTTATCCCGGACAGCGAGGCTGAGACCAGATGCGGAATGCCGGCAAGGCAACCTGAAAGGGGCGATCATGGTAACCAGTGACAGGATCTGAGAAAGACAGTGATTTAGGAAACGTCAATCTCTGGCATGAAGGCTGATAGGACAGTGGCAAGAACAGGAATTAAAATGGATTAAAAACAGAGAAAAGGAAGAATATTACAGGCCGCTTAAATCAGAGTGGCCTTGAAAGGAGAAAAAGATAAGAACAGGGAGGACAAAAACGCTGAGGAGTAAGGAAACTGAGGCTCACAGGGATCTGGTGAGATCTCAGAAGCTGGAAATGACCACCTATCTACATTCAACTTCAAAAACGCAGGGTATTCTCTGTGTTTTTCCTGTTCGACAAAAGAATTTACACTGCTTAACTGTTAGCTTTAGTGTGGAGAAAAAGTACACTACGGCATGTTAGTTCTTCATTTCTGTCTGGCTGTAATAAATAATACATTGGATATTAAAGTCATGCCTTTAAAAATCCAATTTTTAATTTCCCCAGAGTTCAAGCTTAAGAACGATGACTAACTGAGGCCAACTCCTGAAATTCAGTGGGGAAAACGAAGCCAAACGCCCTATTTAAACCAGTTTCAAAAACCATTATTCTCCAGATACCTCAAGGGAGTATCAGGCATTAATGCGTAACGACAATCGAAAGTGAACGAAGCGCTGAGAGGCAGTAAATGGATCACCGGCACAACTGCGCGCGCTTCGAAGGAAAACAGGAAAACTTCAGAGTCCCACATTCGTTCTTGAGTTTTTAAAAACTGCTTTGTTAGGTATTTTATCTTCTTCTGTAACCTGAATTTCATTTAAAAATCAAAACTCATGTGTTATATGCATTGGATTCCTAAAAAGACCCAAGAACCTGTCTCACCTCCCACATTGGAGAGCCTCTGGTTCAAAGGGCCAACGTTCAAGGCCTCAGAGAACAGGTCCGAGGGACAGTGAAGTGACAGAGGAAGAAA